TGGGGGGCCGACGGCCTTCGCCAGGGGGTGTATGAGAACTTCCGCCGGGAGCTGGAGATGAGCACCGCCAACAGTGAGAACCTGGAGGAGGCCGGCTCTGCCCTCAGCGACGAGCAGAGCAGCGGCACCCTCAGCTCCCCAGGTCAGTCTGACATCCTCCTGACGGCCGCCCAGGGCACGGTGCGCAAAGCGGGCGCTCTGGCAGTCAAAAACTTCCTGGTCCACAAGAAGAACAAGAAGGTGGAGTCGGCCACGCGCAGGAAATGGAAGCACTACTGGGTCTCCCTGAAAGGTACGGGGCAAGCGTGCGAGGGTTCATCCAGATGGGTGTCCGTGGTGTCCTGTGGGGTGTGTGCTGCTGCTGCAGATGAATAAACCAATAGCCTAGAGTCTTAACAAAAGCTGCTGTGAAATTCAGTATAATTAACATCAAGTATGAGGAAGTGGTCCTGACATTTTTCAGAGGGGGCTTGTATTCATTGACTGTTGATTGTGCTCACATTATGGCGTGTGTGTAGTCCAAGACGTGACTGTGATCCACTGAAGCTGGGTTCATACCCTGCTTCGAGTCCTGCTGGCAACACCTGGGGTAGCTTCTCTGAGCACTGGGTGTTTCCTTTAGGAAGCATGTCTATAGCTTGCTGACAAACTAAATAATGCGTTTGCAGCCCCTGGCAGGTGACAGTGGGATTTTGCTGGTGATGATGATGGGTACCAGCATGCATCCGAGCAGAGGCTCTGTCCTTGCACGCGTTACTTTCATGCTCAGCACCACTGGCCTCTCTTTCTCCAAGACATGCTTGACGAGTAGATACACCCAGGGAGTTGCAACATGCTTGTGGTGTGGACAGGAAGCCATGGTTTGCTCATCAAGGCTGGATTGTGGCCTGGGAGACATTGGCTGAGGATGTCACTCATCTTGCAGTGGGCAGCCCTTGGCACCTGGCTGCCCTGCCGGTGGCCTTGGCTGCCCAGGACACAGACGCTTTTCTCTCTAACTTCTGCAGCTCCTACTAGGAGCATACTCCATCCCTGTTCAGGGCCTGAGTGCTTATAAATGCAAATAAATATTAATGGAGAAGTGCAACTCAGCTGGCCTCCTGAAGTGACCTCTAATTAATCTCCATGTGGTTGCATCAGCAGCAAAGCGGGAAGTAGTGCTTGCAGCGTTTTGGGACTGGCCTCACTACCCTCCACTGCAACCTGCCTTGTCTGTGAACCAGGAGAAGCAGAGCCAATGTCTCCTGATGTAGGTTTTAGGGATTACAAAAAGCTCAGTACAGTTAAAGTCCTGTTTTGCCTGCAGAGCACTTATTTTTCAAGCACTATTTTATTTTTTATTTTTAAATTTCCAGCACTTTTTTAAAACCAAGAGCAAAGCTAGGTGCCAACTCTTCCATGGAGTGGTTAGAGAGATTGGGGAAGTGAAAGAGGAGAGAGGGATGAAAGAGGGAGGCAGGAGGGAGCCCTAATCTCCTGGGAGGGGGGCCCTGTGGCAGGAAGGTCTTGCTGTGAGGAGCAGGCAAACAAAGGGCCATCTGGGAAGAAAAAGGGGAAGGGTGAGCAAAGAGGCAATGTTATTTTAAAGTGGTTTGACTCAAGTGGAGTGTTTGCTCCTTAGATTGCTGTGCCTTAATAATGTTAGTGTTTAAACGAGGCTTTGAAGTTAACAGCTGCTATTGTTTGGCTGCAAATAGCTTTCTGACAGGCTGGGTAACAGGGCATCCCTTTGCACCCAGAGGGCTGTTTCCAGTGGGAGAGATGTCTCAGTTCTAGTTTAAAACAACTGTAGATAATGTGGGAAGATGGGATGGAGAGAAGACCGTTGGTGGGCGGGGGGGGGTCCCCCAAATTGCAGGTTGGCTATACTCTGTTCTACCCCAGACCAGGGCAGTTGGGGGGCTTTTTGTACAGCAGTCGTTCAGTGAGCACGGCTCATTCCAGTCTGTTTTTCTTCCAGTTACTCATCTGCATCCAGTAATTAAGTCACTTGCTCTTTGCCTTGCCGGGGCTGTAGCAGCTCCAGCAGCTGCAGGAGGCTGAGGCAGGGCCATGGAGGGTTGCCTGGGGCTCACGTGCTCGACAGGGCCAGTGGGGCCAGCTCACAGCAGTCCAACACAGCCCTGGGAGACACGCTCTTAGGCTTGTGTCTTCCTTTTGGTCCCTTTGGTGGGACTGGGTGGCTGTGGAGGACCCCCACTGTGGGACTTGTAATGGTGTTTCTTTTCTGGGGTTGTATGTTACCACCTATGACCTGCCTGGCTCATGTCTGTGGCTCTGTTTTACTCATGGGGTGAATGAAATGGCCCTGATAGTGTCATATCCCTATGAAGTAGAAATCCCTGCCTTGTCAGGCCGGCTGGGCTGCTGCTGGTGCTCTGTGCTGTGGGGCTGAAAACTTGAACAGGCCCTGGCAAATCCTTCCTCATCCCTGTGACAGTTTTACGGTTGATTTATAGTCCCAGGTATTAGCGCCGAATAGATGGGGGTGACTTGTGTTTAGATGTGTTGCTCGCTAATCTGCAGTTGTCTCTTTCAGGCTGCACGTTGTTTTTTTACGAGACTGATGGCAGGTCTGGTATTGACCACAACAGCATCCCGAAGCACGCCGTCTGGGTGGAAAACAGCATAGTGCAAGCAGTGCCTGAGCACCCCAAGAAGGACTTTGTCTTCTGCCTCAGCAACTCCCTTGGGGACGCTTTCCTATTCCAGGTTGGTCCAGTTTGAGGGTTCTATGGTGTTGTTCTCTTTTTCTCTCTCTCCTTCACCCTAACGACCAAGGAGGAAGTCTTAGCCTTGATTCAAATCAATGGAAAAATCCTGCTGACTCCAATATGTTTGGGATTTTCCTCTGGCAGTCCAAGAGGAAGGACACAATTCAGTAAATGCCACTCAAGAGATGTACCACTACATGTGAATCACTCTCAGATCTGCTGTTTTTATTCACTCTCTAGACCGTCTTTGTGTAGATGTTTGTAACAAAATAAGAATTAAGAAATATTCTATATCCCTGTAAAAACTGGGGATTTTGCATGGTTTGATAGTGTGCTTGTGATACATAGACCAGGCCAGTTACCATATAGGACATACAGTAGTGCTTTAAATGATGTGCTCTAACCCTCTCTGCATCTCATCAGAGACATATATCAAAACTGGGAACTTGTGGAGAGGCTCAAGGGGTTTACAAGACTAAGAGGAGTTTGAAGTGCAAGGGGGGACTTGGACCTCCAGGTGCTCTCCCAGTGGTGCTGTGGAATCCAGTTACCCCTTGTTCATACAGACCTTAGTCAAGATCTTGCTGTTGCCCCAGAGGAGACTGAAAATGCATATTTAAATTTTTTAATCAGAAAATAAAAATAACTGAAATAAGGTACATTTTTTAAGAATCCAGTAGTTATATCAAAGACCACACATGAGCTGATGTGTTTCACTGAAAAAGGTTTCTGTATTTTGGTAACCACTGGTCTGTAGTGATTTTTAGGTTGGCATTCCATTTTCTTACTGCAAGTTCTCACAGTGTGACACTCTTTTATGTGTAATTGCCAGCCTGTGCTAAGGTGGTGTAATTTCCGCTTCTTTTGATTCAGTTTTCTTCACCAGAGGAATCCCTTACTTATTTCCCTTTCCAACAATGGATATTCAGAGTTTCTTGCTTTCCTAAATGAGAAACTACTCTGGGCTAGGATGTGCCCCCACGTCATCACTCACCTGCACTCCAGCACAGATCTTTAAAATTACACTGTCTCAGAGGTCCTTATAGCTGTCCTAAGCAAGGTACTAGATTCTCAAAGTACTGTAAAATAAAAAAGCCTTACTTATTCAGAGGAAGTGGTTCTGGCTAACATCTTGAAGAGACCAAGTTTCTGATTGCATACAGAAAAAAAACACCCATTTTTTTTTTTCAGACTAGCTTCTCTTCTTCTTCCACCTCAGTCTGATTTTTCCTCAGTTCACAGTCTAATGTTGCACTGCCCCTTTCTACATCCTGCCTCTCATGGGCAGGGCACATGTATTTTGCAACCTGGAGAGCTTCACCCGTGAGGTAGGTGTGGTGCTTATGGTCTCAGCATGTACTTGGAAGGTTATGGAGCACTACCTCCTCTTGATCTACTGATATGAGCTGTAAAATCTTCTCCATGTGGTTTTCTAAGGAAAAAAACATTTATTCTCATAAAATTAATGCCTGTGGATGCTAAACAGTGAAATGGTCACATTTGGTATATTTCTTTTGTTGCAACACAGGGCCTTATTCATTACAAATCCTGTGTCATTATGCCATGGGTAGATTTTCACGTAACTTTTTTTGGAAAAAGCAAAAAATGAGCCTTTTCAAATGAAAAACAATCGTTTGTATCACCTTGCAGAAATTCTTCCTTTTCCCTTCTGCCATGGCACCCGTGCATCGCTAGTGAGGCAGAAGAGGAGGGAGGGGCTGGGTTTGGCGGGGAGGGAGGGTGCCAGGTGCCGTGGTGGCAGCAGGGTGCGTGGGGCTGTGCTGCAGGGCTCGCTGGGCTGCGCTCGGGGCCGGCGATGCTCGCGCGGCTCCTCAGCAGCGTCGCC